GCAGCGGCCGCGAGGGGGGGCCACGGCTGGGTGCCCCGCGCCGGCGTCGGGGAGTGGCGGAAACGGTGAGGGGCCCGGGCCGGCAATGGGGGGTGCAAAGGGCTGCGGGTTGGGAGTGAAGGCACCGGGCCCCCCCTCTCACACCCTGCTCTGCCTCGCCCCCCCCAGGCAGGGCTTTGCCCCCAGCTCTGCAGGCTACGGCCCCCTCCGGGATCTGCCCGACTGGTCCTTTGTAGGTAAGAGCACTAGAGTTTTGCCCAGTGGGTTTAGGCGCCCGGATGCCTGGTTCTGTCCTAGTGCAAGGAGGCGGGTAGGGGTCCGCCTTGGGGGGGTGGGGGTAGAGCCTGGGAGTCCAGACACGGGGTTGCCTGAGCCCTGGGCTGCGTTGCAGACGGGCGCCCGGCCCCGCCGTGGAAGGGGCAGCTCCGGCGTCAGCAGGAGAACGAGGACTTCGCGGTGAGTGCGGTACCCAGACGCCTGGGGACTTTCCCCGTCCGGGGAGCCGGAGGCGTGGGGGGGCAGGGGCGGTCTGAACAGGGCGCTAGGAGCCGGGATGCCTGGGTTCTCCCCCAGGGGGAAGGGGAGGGTGCTGGGAGCCCAGGCACTGGGGTCCCCTTGGGGTCAGGTGGGCTAGGTGGGCTCTCTTTTGGGAGTGGGCGGGTGTTGGGAGCCCAGACACCTGGGTCTCGTGGGGGTGGGGAGCGGGCACCTGGGTGGTGAGCTCACTCCCCTCCTCCCTGCAGCGGCGCGTGGTCAGGCTGTCCACGGAGCTGTCCCAGGCCAAGCAGCGCTGGAAGAAGCTGCAGGAGGCGGCACAGGAGCAAGAGCAGCTCCGGCTCCAGCGCCAGCTGCAGCCCAAAGGGGGCACTCTGCGTGGGGGGGGCAATAAAGTTCCCTGAGCCTCGGCCCTGTCTTGTCTCTGCTGGGCGGGGGCGGACGCCTGTGTTCCCAGTGAGGGGGCTGAGAGCCTTCCCAGACACCTGGGCTCTCTCCCCAACCCCTCTGCGATGGGGGATGGGGGGGCCTTGAGTGTCCAAGCAGGGCGGTGGGGACTGGGTGAGCACGGGGGGTGGGGCTGAGAGCCCAGATGCCTGGATTCTTCCCCAAAACCAAGGCGGGAGGCAGGATGTGGCCAGAGGACGGAAGAGCAAGAAAGGCTGAGCCAGGGGGATGTTGGGCACTTCCTGTCCCACACCCCCCTGACCACTTGTGCCCAGTTGCTTTCAAGGACAGGCCTTTGGCTGGCCTCTGTCCCCCTCCTCCCCCCCAATCCCTATCCCATGAGCCTCTGCTCCTGGCCAGCTCCTCTCATGTGACTTGGCCCTGATTTCAAGGGTTGGGGGGCTGGTTCCAGCTGTGTTTGGATCTTTTTCCCCCCCCCAACAGTTA